CTCAGAGAAGAGAAGCAGTTTAAGAGCAGAAAGGTAGAGGAAATCTAGAAAAGAACCATCTCGATAGATTTATCCCATGGTGTGAAGGGAAAGGGCGAAGGACCCAATGGCACTTTGCTTATCCCGCAATTTCTGTCACTGTGGTGACCAACTTCTGCCCATTCCATAGGGTCTTGAACTGCTCAGGAACTGGGAACTCATTCTACAAATAAAGAAGAAACAATAGGTTAAAATCTAGGCTAGAGAATAGCTGCGGCACTGAATCAAACGATTCTTTCAGTGCTTTCTTAACAGCCCATAACCTTGGCAGACTGCTCATAGGGGCCATGCACACAAGAGTGTCAGCTTGGCAGAGTGCTAGGACTTTCATTCCTTTTTGTTGTTTAGTTTTTTGGAGACAGTGTTCAGCAAGGTCACTCAGGCTGGCCTCAAACCTATGTAGTCTGTGCTGGGTTAAACTCACAATCTTGCTTCAGCTTCCTGAATACTAGAATTATAGGGCTGTACCACATCTGGTGGTTGGGGCACACTCCCCCCCAACCCCCCATCCTAAGCTCAATTTAAGAGAGACAGAAATTGTTGTCTGGATCTCCAGTATGTGTGGTTAACGTTGCTTTTGTGTACAGTACTTTTGCTTTTTGTATGGACTATTAGATTTACCTACGGAGTGCCAAGTATCAACCAAATAGCTTTTCCCAGTGCAAGAAACTTACAAAATCACCGCCTTCTGTAGGGATGAGGATGTTCATCTCAGAAGATTTGGCACTGACTATCTCACAGTCCAAGGAATTCTTGCTCAGGTAAACGTGGCAGCCATCTGTTTTGTTAATGGAAATGGTTGGCACTTTACCCATTACCTGCAGAGAAAAAACAAAAACACTTCTGAGTTCCAGCTGGGGAGGGAAGACAGTTACAGGGAAAGTTTTCACTGTTTCACATGATTCACCAACAATATGAAAAGCTCCCAGGTGCACAACAGATACTGAATACTGGGGGCAGGATGCGATAGTGGCCATAAAGAGTTCCCTTAAAATAACCAACTCCTCCTCTACTATATCCAAAGCAGCTCAGCTTACAGATGACAGAATTAGATTCGTACCAAAGTAACATCTGTGGGTCTGCGCTCATTCAGCTAATTCCTCAGGGACCAAAAGAAGGAGCCAAGATATCAAGTTACCTGAACTTTGACATCTCTACTATTGATTATCTCCACAATGCCCACCACATCATCAAATACCAGACCAAGTTTCTTACAGTTATCTAGAAGAAAGAAAAGTCAACTTAAAGTGTGATTTTAAAGGAGAGTAACATATTTAGACTCTTTAGGAAGACGGTTCTAGTCCTCTCGGGCTTTGGGCAGAACCTGCCTAGGACAGCAACAAAGGCTTACCTACTATAATGGAGTTAATTTTGCCCTTGATTTGCAATGTTGTGTTGACACATTTGAACAAGTAAGCCACCTGTTTCAACTCTGTGTTATCAATCACTAGGTTAGAAACATTCTCCTGGTTTTCCTGTTAGAAGAAAAACTCCAGATTCTTATCACAAAGTACAAACCAACAAAAATTGCAAGTTATCCCCAGCATTTTTTCTTATACTTTAAGCCAGAACCCTACACATTTGTCTTAGCTATTTCAATTCCTCAACCCCTCTCCTGCCTCTGTTCCAAATATTTTTAACTCACCACTCTCCACTTCTTGCCCTCCAGTTCAAGAAGCGCAGGTTCCTTCTTTGTGGCTGGTTTGGGGGATGGGCTGGTTTGGGGTTTAGGTGCAGAGAATGGTTTGGGGCCACTGCGTACTGGACCACTCTGAGCCTTCAGGGAAGGATTCTTGTGAGTCTTCATATCATCAGATACATGCTTCAGGGCTGTAAGAACAACAACTAGCTTGTTCCTGTCCACACACAGGCTGAGGTAATCACCAACTCTATCATAAACTGATCTGTACCAGAAAATTCAAGCAAAAACTAGAACTTTTGAAATGTTCCCTTGCAAGCCACTCTGATGAGATATAATTT